AGACAAACAATCAAGCAGAAAACAACACCCTAATCAAGGAACTACCAAGGAGAAAACCACATCCCCACCAACACTGGCAGGCCAAACTACTGTATATAAACAGGGGGCAAACTCCACACTCACTCACACTGATGATGTTACCTAGTTGGGTAATGAAATGTCTGCAAGCAAACAGCCAAGCTCAGAGAACCCCAAGGACTCCACAGTTCAACCCTGAGCTACAGATATTCTCTTCTACTGGAGTTGCTTACTTAGCCTGAATGTTAATTCGCAAGTCAGATGTTTGCTGTCCAGCGACCAGGATGTATTTCTGTTCTGGGACAATCTTCACCTCGAAATGAGGCAGCACTGATGAGAGAAAGGAAGAGATATAAATTTAAGCTGAAGATTTGTTTGTCACCACCTTCCACTCTACCTTTTAAGTTCTTTGAGAGAATCTTACTGCAGATAACTACATATAGGGCTCTTTCATTGACTTCCATTGCTGGGAAGGACAATAGCAGCCTTCTTCAACCTGGTCACCTTTCAGATATGTAGACTTCATTTCCCAGAAGTCCTCATCTAGAATGGTCATTGCTGAGAATTCTGGGAATTGAGTTCACACATCAGGAAGGCTCAAGATTGGGGAAGGCCCAAGATTGGGGGAGTCTTAGGGAACTAACTTTTGACTCTGCTCAATATCTGAGCCATGTGTTAGAAAACTTGTTGGAAATGAGAAAGAGTGGCCATTTCTGGAATACGTTCAGCTCCCTACAAATGCTTTTTATTGGTAAGGATACTGAGACTCCAAAACTGTTCTAAAATATATATTTGAGAGCAGGAATGCAAAAACAATGGCAGAATGAAGTCTTTAACATGGCCCTGAAGCTGTTCAAAAAGTTGCTGCTGAATTGTAGGAGGAAATTATTAAATACAAGGAACAAAGTATTAAATACACAGAGAACAAATCTGTAATTGCTAATACATTTTATTAAATTTTATTTAACATTTAAAGCAAATTTTACGCTTATTCCTGACTCTGCCCAGTTCATGGTTCTGGCCCCTCTCACTTTGGGGACGTGGCTTCTGCCAGTCCAGTTCAGGGTCAGATGTGTCACTGGCCTCATCTCCCTGTTCTAAAGCTGATGTTCTGCAAATGTAGTTGGCACTTCAGCTCCCCTTGTCATTCCTCCCCAAGCACACCTGGATGGAGGAAAATCCAAGTGGGAAGCCAACATTCTCACCAACATCCAGCAGTTATGAGCACCTGCAGATGATGGGCAACTGTTTGAGGAGAAGAGATGGATCCTGAAGGCCAGAGGTAAGGAAAAAAGCAACAGATTTTATGGTGATACAGGTAGTCCTCGACTTATGACCATTTATTTAATGACTGTTCAAAGTTATGACAGTGCTGAAAAAGCGACTTACGACCACTCATACTTACGACCATTGCAGTGTCCCCACGGTCATGTGATCAAAATTTGGACGCTTGGCAACCGGCATGTATTTATGATGATTGCAACATCCCAGGGTCACATGATTGTCCTTTGTGACCTTCCCAGGAGGTTTCTGACAAGCAAAGTACAGTGGTACCTCGGGTCACGAACGCTTCTGTTCACAACCAATTCAGGTCACAAACAGCTCCGTTCGCAAAATTTTGCCTCCGTTCGCGAACGCCGGATCGGGTGACGAACAGGATCTGCGGCCATTTTCCCTCCTGTGACACATGGTTGCGGCTTCCTGTAGGGAGGGGGACTCTCCCTCCAAGCAGTAACCGCCTCCCCACCCGCCTTCCTGTCCTCCACGCCAGAAGTTGCATTGAGCAAGGTTAGCTTTCTTTCTCTTCATACTGTACTTTGTGTCATATTTTTGCGGTTTAAAAAAAAACAAAAACATATGGTTCAGAACGGGTTAACCGTAATTACATTGAACCTTATGGGGAAATTTGATTCGGGACGCAATCAAAAATCAGGTCGTGACCAAATTCGGAGGGGTCAGAACGGGTTAACCGTATTTACATTGAACCTTATGGGAAAATTTGATTCGGCGCGGCACCCAATTTTGTTTGGGTCCCCCACC